TGGCGGCGGCGGTGGTGGTGGGGGGGGTGGTGGCGGTGGTGGTGGTGGTGGTGGTGGCGGTGGTGGTGGTGGTGGTGGTGGGACGATGGTGGTGGTGGTGGGACGATGATTAAGATGCTGCTTCTTGGTGATTACGGCAGTGGTCGTGAAGTGACGACGGTGAGCAAAGTGCTGATGAAGATTGTGCGCTAGGTTTTGTGATGGTTTTCTGACTTCTGCCAACCCGCAACCACACTCCCATCACCACCGTCATCTCCATGGTTTTTAAGTTTCACTGTCATCGTCATCGGCTTGTTGCACCTCACCCTTTCGAATGGCGATGCCGAAGGAGAACTTCTTCGTGCCTCCCCGGCTTTCCAGGATACACTACAGCTCGAACCTAAGCCCAAGCCCTGATGATGTAGAAGCCTGAATAGCGACCCATGCAGGCAATACAATTCCTTAGGGCTCCTTATCCAAGAATATATACTTATATACTATTGTCACCCACCTCGAAGCCCCATTCTCATTCCTACTGCCCCTTAGATCCGGCCCAAGGCACTCCTCAAGAAAACGCTAGAGAAGGTAATCCGCTTGTCCGGAATGAGCGGCTTCGCTTTCGTTCCCACGAGGTCCTGCTTTAGGCAGGGTTTAGGGCTGAGGGTTTGAAGTAGGGTGCAGGGCTAGGCTTGATACACTACACCTCTTGGCCTGATATCCGTGAAAGCATTTCAGCAGGTGCCACAAGCTGGTAAACCCCACATCACCACCGTCACGTGACGTGGATATTAAGGTTTTGGGTCCAGGGCTTCGGATTTAGGATTTTGGGTTTAGGGTTTTGCGCTCTACACAGACTATCAGGTCACATTATTACCAACCCTGAACTAGAACAGCCCTCGTTGAAAAGCCCAGAGAGTGTCCGATCCCATCTTCAGCTGCTGGCGGAACTCAAGGAGGCAGTTTTCCGGAGAAAGATCCTCAGCTTCGGGCACTCCGTCGGTTATAAAATAATTGGGGTAACTCCATTTAGGGTACTTATAACTCTACTTATAACCTACTTACTAAGTCCCCTGGGCCTCCAAGCAAGGCCGGAACCCTTCACTTGGGGTCTAGGGTTTAACTCCTCCAAGCCCCCCCCCCCCATGCCCTTAGACTCAAGATTTCTGTCCCTGCCATCCCTACAGCCAAGACCCGAAATACAAAAAGCGAACCGCAAACACGAAGTATCACGAAGTCTTGCGTTCTGCAGAGGCTCCAAACCCCAACATTTCCGCGAGGCCCTGACACCCTTTATTAACCCACCCCTGAACCCCAAGGCCTTGCAGCCCCAAAATGCCCCTAAAACCTTGAACCCTAAGCCTGCAAGGATTCCAGCCCCTTCAGAACCTTGTGGAACCCCTATATGGGTAGTTGTCAATAGGTGCCGTATTATAAAAAGAACCCAAAAAGGTACCATAATTTTGACAACCACCTATAACCACCTATATAGAACCCTACAGCAACTCTAGCAACGACCCCAAAGCCCTGGAAGCCCGTCGAAGGATCCGCGTTGTCGGAACAGAAGCGCTGCAACCGCTCGGCGAGGTCTGAGAGCTGCATAGCCATGCTCAGGAGCTCTCCTGTGTGGGGCTCAGGTTTGCTTTTAAGGAGTAGGGGAAATTTTGGGGATGTAGACTCTCTCAATAATGCTCTTTTTGAGAAAGCCAAAAAGTAGGGTTAAGAAGGGTCCGTTTTAAGGGGTCTCCCTAGACCCTGCCTAGGATTTTTTTGCCTCCCAGCTAGGACGAGCCGCATTTGTGTCAGGCCGGGGGTTTCGGATTCAGACGCTCAGAAGCTCTTCTTCTGCTTGGGGTCTTCGGTTTAGGGTTTAATGTAGGGGACTTATTAGTTAGAATAGGGTTTTGGGGGTTCCTTATTATAACGATGATTTAAAAGGTACCCCAAAACCCTATTCTAATTAATAAGGCCCCTATATTACTCCTTTCGGGGCTTCTAAGAGGCGCGGCTCTGCTTTGTATTTTACTTTTGTGGTTCAAAAGCCATATAAGTTCGGCTTCTTGTGGGATGGTAGGGATGTGCGTGCTTTTTGGCTCCTGCTGCATACGTTTGCAGCATGTAGGGTTTACGTTTTAGGATCTGCTGGGCTGGGTTTCGAAGGTATCAGGTGTAGGGGGCACAGGGGCGGGTTTAGCTGATTCAAGGTAAACATCAAATACCCAAATCCCTAAACCCTTAACCCTTAACCCTCAACCCTAAACCCTAAACCCTGAACAATCTGGTCAAGGCTTCGCACTTGCAGAACACAGGGCGGCCATGCCAACAAAACCCCTTAATCAAGGAATATACCTTAAACCATACTAGGGATCCTAGTATAAAAAAGGTAAATATCCCTTAATTAAGGAATATACCTTAAAGCAAATTGGGGATCCGACTGTAATCCTACTATATACTTCTTAAGTAAGGTTTTTGGAGTCGAGTCTCTGGGCACAAGGTGTAGGTGAGACCCGAGGAGGAAGGAACCAGGCTCGATCACTCTCAACAGGGGGCCGGGTTTTATGGTCGCAAAGTCCCTATACTTAGAGGCCCAGGGAACTTGGTAAGTGGGTTATAAATGGAGTTATGAGTACCCTAAATGGAGTTACCCCAAAATATAGGCAGGGTTGTAACATGTACGTGGACCTTTGTCCTAGCGCTTTCAGAAATACTGCAACATGCCTTCTCCAGATCATACCACTCGAACTACGCAGACTCCAACATGAATCACAAAACCGAAAGCACTGCGCCCGTCCTAGGCTCAGTTTTCCAGAACCGTCTCTGTCGAGGGATTCGAAGAGCTCACGAAAGTCTTGGGCGCCCAGCCAGTTCACCCCACCTGCGGATGAAAGGTGAACAGGCATGACCAGCGGTGCAGAAGCTTCTGCAGTGAGCCGGAACAGTCAAAGCCGCTAACTGGAATCATGCTTGTCATCAGCGTGATCGTTTCAATCGGCACCGGCGAAGCCGCCGCCTTCATCATCACCATCATCATCATCATCATAATCACCATCACCATCACCATCATCATCACTACTATCATTAACATCATCATCACCATCATCATCATCATCATCATCTCCATCACCCTTATTCTCGTCATCCTCACCATGTTCACCCTCATAACAACAACCGTAACAACAACCTCCACAACCACCAACGCCATTCACGACGACAACGGGGCGACTACGAATATACAGCTGCCACCTTCCTGACTTTCGTCAACTTCAGCAGCCTCATCACCTCTACCAACACATCCAGCACTTCCAACACCGGCCACATAATTACCATCACGGTAATCACCAACATCAGGCCCGGAAACGCTCCAAACTCCCATAGTTCAGTGTTTAGGGTTTAGGGCCGTCGTGATCACAGCTTTGTTTGATGTGTGGTGGTTCTTGGGAAGGGAGTGGTTGTGGCTGGGGATAATCAGTAGGGACCACTTATATAACTTGCCGAACAGCCGTGCTACAGCAACTGGGCCACGATGCACGCAAGCCGCCGCTTCAAAGATTGCGAGGATGATGGAAACCCTAAATCCTAAACCCTAAACCCTTTTCCCTAAACCTCCTACCCGGATGCCCCAAACCCACTGCAGACTGAAGATCGTAAACCCAAAGGCGAGACGGTCGGCAATACCGAAGGGGAGGGCATAATACCTGGAACTTAGGGAGCCCTGTACTGCCCTTGTAGGTCGCTTCCCCCTAAACCCTAAACCCTAAACCCTAAACCCTAAACCCTAAACCCTAAAACCCTAAACCCTAAACCCTAAAACTGCACCAAGGAGCTGAGCACCATCACCTTCTCAAACTCCTGCGGGACTGGCACTGGCACGCAACTTGCGAGCTTGGAAACTACCGGTGTCTTCAGCTCAAGCACCATGATCGTCACATGTGCCCAAAGAAATAGTTACAGTGATAAACAAGCGATCAAAAAGACACTGTAGCAACCAAAGAAGCATGTGACGTATCGAGCATCACTGCGGTCCTCACGTCACAACAACCTCTCGTGAATGTGATGTCATCACGATCTCAAAGAGTTCAGTCTTGCTACTGTTCTTAGCAAACCCATGTTCATTTGGCTGGTTGTTCTTGTGACTACGACAAGCTGTTCTCTACGCCACAGAACTGCACTGAGCGAGAACTGTTCACGCTGGTTCAATGGTTTCCCTCTTCATTTGCGATTCCGGCTACGCCGATCTTGCTGAGTCGCACCGGTATTGACAAGGATGGCAGCTGCGAGCAGCATGGTGGAGATGATAGTCAGGGGGCAGAACGGTGCGAGCGGGGTGACACCGATGACCACACGACCCCAACAAGGGCCCACAACAACCGCATGAGCGCTGTCCATGTTGCGTGGCTTGATCTTGCGCACAAGGCAGGAAGAAAACCCTCAACCTCACTAAACCCTTTTGAAACCGGACTTGATGAAACCCTTTTTTGCATCCGGGCTTGGAGAGTCGGCCTGAAACCGTAAACCCTAAACCCTGAGTAACCCAAACCACTCCGAAACCCGAAACAACCTCCTAAACCCAAGCCTCGACACCCGAAGACCCGCAGCCCCCTTTTGCGCCTGGAAGCTGCCCCTAAATCTGAAACCTAAAAAAAGGGGCCTTACTAATTAGAATAGGCTTGGGGGTATAAAATACTATAATTATAATAAGGAGCCCTCCAAAATAGTATTGGTGATTATTTAGGCCCCTACACTAGCCGGAGGCAGGTCCTTCAATGTAAGCCGGCCGTCCTCGCTAGACGTCGATGTCATATCCTGGACTTCTGGCTCCGTGGCACACAAGCTACCAACTACACATGCATGCGCCCTTGCACGAAAAGTGTTTTGCTGCATACGTGCAGCTGTACCTACATGCGCAAGTAAGAGTAAAGAGGGATGTGCACTGGAGTCAGCCCTAAACCCTCAACCCTGAACCCTAAACCCACGTGGACCCCAAAGCGCAAGGCCAGGGCGCCGGGAGTGTGACTTTCTTTGGGCCATTGCTGCTCGCGATGCTTGAACGCCTCGTCTGGAAGATCGCAGCTCGTGGGGTTCGAGGGTTCCGTTTCGGTTTGCTTAGGGGTTTAGGGCTTAGGGGTATAGGGTTTAGGGTTTAGGGCTTAGGGTTTAGGGTTTAGGGTTTAGGTTTAGGTTTTGGGTTTAGGGTTCAGGGTTTACAGTTTTGGACTCAAGGCGGCTTTAGCGGTTTAGGGGTCTAGGTGTTCAGGGGTTTAGGGTTTGCGGGCTTAGGTTCAGTTTAAGGCTCCTGTTGAGTACTCTAGAAGGGTACTGTAAGGGGCGTAGGGGCTTAAGGATTAGGAAAGCCTGTGATTGATTCGGGTGGCCGGACCTCTTTGCGATGGCTCGCCATGGGTCTAGAGTCTAGAGCTGCTGCTGCTGCTGCTGCTACTACTACTACTACTACTGCTACTACTACGCAACAAGAACCGGCCTCAAAGCCATCTATCCTTGGCCTCTATCCAACACTTGCCAGCCTGCAGGGGCCTCAACTTGATCAACCCGACACTACAAACTGACCCGACCTAATAAATCCCCTAACCTTCAAAACAACCCTACGCCCCTAGACCTGAAGCCTAAACCCTGAAGCACCTCTACATCCTAAACTGGAAACCCAAATACCTGGCACATATATTGTATACTAGACTATATATTATACAATTTTATACTACATTTTGCTATATCACGGTATGTTGTATTTTCTTACATTATATTATGTACTATTCTATTCTATTCTATTCTATTCTATTCCATCCTATCATTTTCTATTCTATTCTATTTTGTTGTACCATCTCACCTTATAAGCAGAATGCCTGTCTCTCTGGGATTCTTTGTCAGCACGGCCCTGAAGGCTCTGCTTGTACCTTGTGGGTGGCGGTTGTTGGCTTCGGATTTCGGGTTTAGGGCTGAAGGCTTGGACGTTTTGTGAGAGCTCTTGTTGTGATTCATGGCATCCTGGTTTAGGCTAACGCGCGCCTTAATGACCA